TAAATAATTATTCAAAAAACGGAAAGGTCGATCATAAACGCAAATTAGAACGTTGATTCAGAAGCCATAATCGCATGAAACGTAGAAAGGATCAAACGGAAACCCTTTTAGTGTCGCGTGTTCGTCCACGATTAAGGTTATCGAATTTCGTCTGGATGCTAATCTGGAACCGAGATCAGTTTTCTAATTATTTAGAAGGGCATACTGTGATTTATTAAGAAGGCAAAATTGAAATGTTACTAGCACTGTTTCTTATAGCATTACTTTCTGATACTAGTAACACCCTAGTCCTTCGTTTCATTAATATATCACTAGGATACTAATCACATTTACTCGGTTCTTCAGTAGGATACTAGATACTAGTGATACTAGAGATACCAATATCACTAATTGTAAGATATTAATCACACTGGGCTCTTCATCCAAAAAGTACATGTCACCATTGATTTTTTATTTAATCCACACGAATACCCGATGAATAATTTATCTGAAAGATAATTTGCTGCGTGGTTGCATGACAAACGGAAAGCTCGTTGGTCACGAATCGAGTTCACATTCAAGTATTTCGAACGCAACGATAGTAACTTGGTCACTGTTGACTGAGAAAATACTAGCACAATGTAATTTTTATCCCTTCTATAATAACAGAATACCAAGGGTACAGCTATGATCCCTTTTGCCTCAAGATACTTTAAAATATAATATTTTATCCATTTTATATCACTATAAGCTGTGTCAAATTGAACAAGTATTAGTATCTACATTATTGATACTAATAGCAGTTGGTACTTATTAGTACCAATACTGATTTCAGTGGTACCAACATCAGTACTACTGCCAATTGACACCAGTGTCAATTTGATTGACATCAATAGTTCAAACAGTCCCTAGACTAAAATATAAGTTGTAGAGCTAAGTACACCACCATTGCCATGGGTGTCCTGTTCCCATGTGGCCTGTGAACTCGAACACGTGTCCTCGAACACGTTACAACCCTGTTATTTGCTGTACAACCAGTGGCAATCGTAAACCTGGAAAACGTGATACACGTAGAAACCGATCGAGAAAGCCAAAGCCGGCATTTGAAGCGAACAACGGGCAAACGTAACACGGAAAAGCCATTTGAAAGGATGCTGTGGCCCGATGGCTGGCCAAGGGCTGCAAATGGAATCCGACACTTTGGCGGCAGCCATTTTCTCCTGGAAACCACCGCTTATGGCAGAACAAAACTATCCATTAGAGTTACAGTACTTCGTTTCTTCTCGGCGCGAACTGGAATCTAGACTAAAACGAACATTGCAGTACATGTTACGAGGTTTTATTACAAAAGAACATCTCTGAATGTGTTATGCCCCTATGGAATTGTAGATAATGGTGCAATAGAAATGTTTTAGAGGTTTTTAAAAGTAAATGAATGGTATAGGTGCTGATTTTAGGTTAGATTTATAAATTTAGGTTAAATTGTCCCTAGACATCCTAGGGATCCCTAGATTTACTTCCAACATAAAAGCACATTAAAACAAACATTCTTATTCTGGTTATTTCTTAATATCTTTTCACAAATAAGTTTAATGTCTAATTTTCAAACGGTAGTATTAAATTATTTCTAGACATTCTAGGGATCCCTAGATTTATTTCCAATGTAAAAATCACTGAAATGAAGTATCTACGAGCAATAAATAACATTTACTATTTATTTAGGAGCGTTTTTGAAGCTTGTATATAAACTCTTAATAAAAGTCTCGAATTTTGGACGACAGCTGTAACTAGCAACGTTAAATACCTAGTGTGAACCTCTGAACGATGGTCCCTATAAATAGTAGCAAGTCTATTAGCGGAAAATGTACAGCCAGACGAGTACCACTCGAGAAGAAGCGAGATTCGTGTAACGTATAGGGAAGTAGAAGTAACCAAAGTAAATATCAGCGATTAACCAAATGGGTCAACATGACCCTGTTTGACGTCCCTTTATTTTTTAACACTTTTTCTTCAATTTAATTCTACTTAAATAATTTAAGGTCAATATAATGTCTCTAAAACTTACAGATTTGTCTCATGAAACTAATAGAAATTTGAATTATATCAAGCAGAATATGGAATGAACAAAATTAATTTCACTGTTAATGACTATTATTAATTAATCTTCGCCGGTATAATTATTCTCTATAGACGTTCGTAGAAATTTCGTCACAAACGTACGCCAGTTAATTACAAACAATATCTGTTTCATGGGAACTGCGGTGGCCCGCGATACTCGTTATCCCGACATTCAAGCTTAAGAGTAGGTGGCTTTACGCCACATGCTAGCTACTGAAAACACTTGTCAGTCTTCCAGGTTTGTTCCACTTCGAAATATTAATTTATACGAGGTTGTGTGTTATGTGCGTTAGAGGGAAGCCCCGGCTTGGCCCCGATTATCATGCAGATCAGCCTCGACGAATTCCGTTTCGATCCGTGGAATCTATCGTACACGATTCGACGAAACGTTAAGCTCTTCTTATGAATCGATGATACGCCAATTTGAACTGCGCGATCAGTGAACATTTGCTATAGTTACTCGTCGCAGAAGCGAATGGATAATGTCTGTTATTCTTGGTATTTATTCAATTTCGTAGTGACTTTTGAAATTATTTGAGACACGAGTGTGTTTGTGTAGCATGATGTGTTACTTGTGTCATGAAATAGTTAATTATTTGGATGAGTAGGGAGGAGGAGAGCAGTAGAGTAGATAATCGATGAGTAAATGAGTAGAGGAGTAGATGAATAAATAAGTAATTGAGTAGATGAGTAGATGAATAAATAAGTAGTCGAGTAAATGAGTAGATGGTGAGTAGATGAGTAGTTGAGTAGATGAGTAGTTGAGTAGATGAGTAAATGAATAAATAAGTAGTCGAGTAAATGAGTAGATGGTGAGTAGATGAGTAGTTGAGTAGATGAGTAGATGAATAAATAAGTAGTTGAGCAGATGAGTAAATGAATAAATAAGTAGTCGAGTAAATAAGTAGATGGTGAGTAGATGAGTAGTTGAGTAGATGAATAAATAAGTAGTTGAGTAGATAAGTAGATAAATAAATAAGTAGTTGAGTAGATGAGTAGATGAATAAATAAGTAGTCGAGTAAATGAGTAGTTGAGTACATGAGTAGCTGAGTAGATGAGTTGTTGAGTATACGAGTAAATGAGTAGATGAATAGTTAAATAAATGAGTAGATGAGCAAATGACCAAGTGAATAGCTAAGTAAATACTCCAGACAACCCAAATAATTGAATCAATGCCTTCCATTTGGTAAAGAACTACCTGATTCGAGAAATTCACTAGATCAGTTCATAGAAACAGCAGCTTTCTTATCAGCCAGCGAACGCCAGTAATTGGATGCTGCGACTCAAAGAGACGGAATTAAAATGGAAGGCAGAGGTGACTCCAGGAAAAGAGGAAAACACATTTCGATCGAGTATCTTCGATCAAACAGATTACGTGTCACGGTTTGAATAAAAGAAAATTTTCATTTTTCCTTTCACGTAGCCATCCTTCTCGGAACACCTAAGACCATCCCTGATCCTTTATCCCTAGTGTTTTATGGTGTTTTTACGTGTGCCCTGGCTCCGTTTATCGAATTTTGAACCGACGAGGCAGGTCTTGTTTTTAAATGGAATTAAGAAATTATTAGATTTCTTGAGAGAAACCGTGGCAAGAACAAGGCAGCTAACGAGATTATATCAGTCATTCTCGACAACTCAAAAATGCAATCTTTTTTTCCAAACTTATTGCATTTGAATAAACCAAAGTCGTAAGACAAGGAGTTAATTAAATTTCGAGAAGATATTTTGAAAATCTTCAGTTCTGTTGGAACATGAATTTAATTGACAAAACCAGCGAAGAAATAATTGATGGCAGGTGGTGAAAATTTGGAGAAAATCCAAAATTCCTGCTCCTATTCGTCACTGTCCTAGGGATCGGATAGAAATTATAACAGAACCGACGGGACGGGTCAGAACAACAAACAGCATTGTAAAAGACGTAAACAGAGGGCTCGAACGGGTTGAAAATTAAACGAATCATAAATTTTCTTCTGCTGGTGAGCCACAGTTTGTGTTTCTCTACGTTTCTTTATTTTCCAGGCGTGATATATGGGACGAGGATAATTTGCATTTGAAAATTGTTTGGTACACTTTTTATCTATCCTGGCGGCAACTTTACGGTGGTGGTATTGTTTTTTGATGAATGATGTGTATATTTTATGAATGAAATCTTTCCTTTCTGTTTGCTTGGATTTCTTATGAAATATGAGATTCGACGAAACTTAGAGATCGAAGATGTTTGAAATTTAAAGAAATTTATAACTTGGCCAAATTTAATGCTTGAGAAAATTTTGTAATCGGAAATATAATGAATTATTAGTATTGTTTTAGGGGGTAAGTTTTGAAATACGAGTTCAGTTAATTTAAATTTCGCGCGAAACACGAGGCAAACTTGAATACAAAGTGCAAATTTTATTTATATCGCTAACCTATCCGCATCAGGGCCCTGATCTTGGCATACAATCTGTTACACATTTAATTTCTTCCTCTACATTTGCGTTCCTTCATACTTTTATAGCTAACATTTTGAAATAAAATTGAGGAAGTGGTCACAGATAAATTTAAATACATTTCAACATAGAAATATTTAATATTAAATCAAATGGAATATTTAAAAATGTGGATAACATTAACCCTTTGGATGGCGGACCACGGAGAGAGCCCCAATTAATTTAATATAGTATTTTTCTAAATTTCACACGATTCCTTTAAAAATGTAATTTTTCAAATAAATTATAAAACTATAATTCTATAGATCCTTAAATATTTCTTTAGTTTCTTGACAAAAATTTTAGCAAAATTGTATTGAAAATAAATTTGTTAAAAACCCTTACTTAACAATTCATTTCTAAATTTCATCTTTCAAGTACAAATATTTATAATCATCTAAATTTAATATTAAAAGAAAAAGAATATTACTTACGATTTTCAAACAACGATCCGTAGATCCTGCCATAGATCTTCCAATAATGAAGAAAACCAGAAGTAGAACGGTCTTCAATGGTGTATTTCACTTTTGCAGTTGTAGTCCAGAATGTTTTTAATAATCGCGAATTAATGTACTTTTTTTAATTACACGCACTCACAGAGGTAAACGAACGAACACACACGGGCAGAAAACGACGACAAACCAACCATTCGTCCTCGCGGCACGAAGGCCCGCGCACCACTGACTCCGACACCGACTCGTGCCGACGCGACGGCACGCGTTGCCTTGCCGAAACGCTGAAGTGGGGGGTCGAGCGGTGGGGATAGATATTTTCACGAGTTCATATTCTCGCGTACGGTCGGACTTACACGAATATTCCCGAATGAGACTACCGCGGGTGAGCACACATATCGCGCGCACATTTCCTTCATTTTCTTATTCGCAGGATTACAAAACTTGGCAAAATATACTCTCGCTATAATTACGTTTGGAAATCGTCCTCTGCCTCGTAAAATGGAGGTATCTCACGAAAGGTTCCCATATATCGTTCTTCGGACCCTTTTTCACCGCGGCAGGTTGAATTCTTTGCGCTCGATGATGAATGGCGAGAAAGAAATAGCGAAAGGGATCCTCACGACCCTCGTCAGGGTTACACAAGGGTCCGGCGAAACTTCGAGCCTCTCTTCAGCAGGTCGAGTAGGGTCTGCAGGGAAGTGTATTTCAAGGCGTGGAAGAAAACTGCACGGCAAGTACATGGGATCTTCTTTTCTTTCTTCTTAGATGGGTTCTGTCCCTTTTATGACCTCTCAACTCTCGGTTACCTAACCTAACCAAAATATTTTATTTGTTATTACGTTAAGAAAATTATTTAAAGTATAATCGTAAAGATATGAGGTCAGATATGAACCTAAATAATATTCTGATTACGTCATCTTCGAACGAACCTAACCTAACCTAACTCCTTGTCATTCAAAGTGTACCCCAGTATCTGCATGCTTAACGCCCGTCAGTTTCCCTAAGAAGACGTGCCTCAAACCGAAACACGATCGATTCGAACAACTTTAGTGAATATCTAAATTGACACAGATGGAAACATGAAAAGACAGGCTGACATCTTCGCAGGAGAAGAAGAATCATGATTTGAAACCAGAAAAAGGATTCTGTCGTTTATGTCAATATTTATTAGCCTCCGTCGCGGTGACGTTTATCGACATCTTCCAGACTGCGGACCTTAAGGGACATCGGTTCAAATAAACATCGAAGAAGCTTTCTATGATTAATTTCATTTAACAGAAAGCATAACCATCGCATGGTGAGTCTCGAATCACCAGAGGATACAGAAGCTTCGTCATAAATCATATCAGAGGGAAGACAGTTAGGTGTTTTCGAGTACCTCGTTATTCCGGAGGCACTAGTAATAGGATTTCAAGACATATCGTTGAATTCCGAATCTACTTAAGGGCTGAGCCCTTATTTTGGAGGCGGCCGTAGGATCGGAACGTACCCAGTCAGCTTGGAACTGATCACATCACCAGAGCGTACGAAAGTTTCATCATAAATGATGAACAGGAAAACAGCTAGGTCTTTTCGAGTATCTCGTTATCCCCAAGACACTGGTAATAGGATTTCAAGATATATCATTGAGCCTCGAATCCACTTAAGGACTGAGCCTTTATTTTGGACTGGGACGTATTTGGAAGTAGCAGTGAAATTAAGGACACTGTGCCCCTACCATAGGTGGGACCATAGGGACCAAGGAAACCCAGTCTGAATCAAGGAATATTGGACATCTGACACTTTTATTGAAGCTAGAGGACCTGATCCACCTTAAAAAAGTCCTAATTACGTTAATGAATCCTGGTGCACTGATGTCTGCCGAAAAAATCAAAATTTTATGAACAGCCTGCACGGTACTGATGAATATTAACACTTAAACGACCCCTCACGAGATTTCTCGTGTTTCAATGCTGAGATGCGGTCCTTTAAGTGTTAATAGACCTGGACGGTAATGGGATTCAGATCGTGCCTCCTCAGTTAGCCGCAGAGGCTATGAAACATTAAATATCATCCAGCATCGCTGAAATATTATGCCTGCCATTTAGCAGCATATGTAGGACAGCTATAGGTATGTAAAGTAGTTCGATCTACTGGATATCTGTGTGGCTGCTAAGTGCTGTGTCTATAGGTCCATGGAATTTCTCATAGTTCAGTAGTGCTCTAGCGGTTGCAGGTGAAACCACGTGTTAATAGAAGACATAGTTCATCTTCGTATAACACAGTGATCAAAGAGAACACGTGGGGATAGGGTAGCCTTTAAACACCTGACCAAACTTTGGTCTACATTAGTTTATGCCGCAGGGAAGTTATGGCCCTTCAGAGTTTGGGGTCTGTTAACTCAATGGAGGGATCAATGAACGCGTCAATGGCAACTACTATGGAGGAATGTTATAAAATCATGATCTTGAGTCATTTAGTAGAGATACTTGATTAGTAATTAAGTTCTGCCCTTCTGAAGCTTTGGTCCTCCCAAATTTGGAGGACTGACACACCAGGGAAGGTAGTTGGTCTGCGCGGTACAGAGAGGTTATGTTAGATTAGGTAGTTGGGCAGTTTGGTAGCGTCAGATTACGTAGTCCGGTCTGTCTACCTTCTCAAATCCAACAGGGCACATCATAATTTAATGCATTCAAAATGGTGTATCCATCCTCTGAAAGCAGCGCCGACTAAATAAACACTTGATTCATCTTTCCAACGAGACGTACGTCCTCCAGACGTTTCACAGAATCCGGATTCCAGAAACGAGAGCAACCGATTCACGGAAGAAATAATTGGGCTCGAATAAAAATATTAACCCGCTACCTCGACTGTCTTTTAATAGTCTGCCTAACCTAGTTTCCTGCTGGAACACGCTTTGGATCTTATATACTATCCGATTTCATTAATTCGCAGAAGAGTCCATTGGAAAAATTGTAGAAGGTTTTCTAAACTTGGAAGAAATGTGAGACAAACATGCCGGGCAAATTATGAATCAGTAGGTTAGGTATGCCATGGTGTCAAGTGCAGTAAGGTAAGCCTAGGTCTTCTAAAAAAAAGAAGGAATTCTTAGAATTACGTCAGAAAAAGAAGAATAGTGATCGTGCAGTACCAATAAAACCATCAAAAGTTACTAGATTGCAAAAATTAATAAAAACAATCAAAAATCAATATGAAACTTTTCCATTGTTTAACTTTATAAATCAAAGAACAAAAAAGGAATACTTAATATATATACTATATATACTTAATAACGAAGAGACACGCGATTTCATCGATCATCATAACCTCCACATCAACAGCACAATTTTATTTTTCATTTGAATCTGATCGATACAATCGTACAATTATTCTTCAATCGACAGATTATTTTCTCGTTTTCATTTTTTTTATTCGTTTCTTTTGTTTTTTCTTTTTTTTTTTTCGTTTAATTCTTCGATTACACGGCGCAGGCTGCTTCATCTTTCTGAGTTCACACGAATATTTAACGGCTTACAATTACACTTCATTACAGATTCAATAATATATATATATATTTATATATTTATATATTCATATATTTATATATATAATATATATAATAGGTATTTTTGTTTCTTTAATATATTTCTTTATGTACAGAGGGCAGCTTGCCTAGTAGGTTTATAACGTCACGTGACCATTGAAGTAATCAAAATGGACGCTGATCGTCACTGATAATAATTGACGCCAGATATCAATTCTCTTATCGTTTTAATCCAACAAACAACAATAACATCCTCCTATACAAACTCGTCAATTATTCATCAATAAAGTACTTAAGTTTGACCCAATTTTTATTTAAGTTTAAATATCAAATTATTAAAATTTGAATTCATTTTTAAACGTCACTTCGTCGATGGGGGCAACACAAGTGGAATCAAAGAAATTCTTGGAAACGTAAATTAGGTCGATTCTTCAAGTCCTTGGTCCCGCTTTAATTGACGCATTGTCGCTCAATCGATAACATATTTAAAAGGGGACCAGGAACAATCAAATTTCTACTTTTTAGCAGAGTTCGAAGTTTGTTTCGAAAACGGGTCATCGAGTTTCGTTTCTCTGACAATCTTACACTTATTGTCACGTGATCGTTGAAATTTTCATTACTTAATTTTATTTCTCCTCATAATTTGTTAAAGAAACCTTCTCTCCCGTTAATTTCGCTAAACAATTTTCCAATTCCCTAGAGGCGAGAAAATTCTCTTAAGTCTAAATTTCCCTAAATGGCAAACTGAAACCCTCGATGGAAGAGTTATCGTATCGAATTCCGAAATTTTCCAGGTTCACTAGCCATTGGTGTGTTCAACGTCCACGCCAATGTGCCCCAATGGTCACGACAATTCTATTAACATCGTCTCAGGTGCCTGAGCTTCGAACCAGCCTCCGAAAATCGAATGTAAAGTTGTGCATCGGATCGACATCGTCCGAAAACAGTTTCGACGGGGAAGAGAGTTGTTTAAATGAATTATTTTCCCGACAGAAATGAAAGTTCTGTCGAATACAGACGCGTGCAGGTCTGGTTTCTGTCGTAAGTCGCGTGAACCCCGGAACTACGGGGTTTCCCTGCTCGCTGGCGCATGCGCGGAAGCGGCAGCCTACCCCTACTCCAGCTCGCCGCGTATGGCGGCAAATTCAAATCCCTATAACGTAACAAACACGTGCAATTCGATGTTCACGTCACACATTGACAAACTTGATCGTGATTTAATTTTCACGCCAGTATTCATCCGAAATTTCCCCTTCGAAAAAAAAATGAACGACGTCTACTCGCAATCGGACTCGGATCAGCTCGATGACACCTCCGTAATCAGGCTACATCCATCATACATATTTATATATATGTATACAGGGCGAACCGCGTAATTTTGGTCGGTCTGATTGTTTTTACCACGAGTGTTTCAATCTTCCAGACCATTTTGGGCAACATAAAACAAGTGCAAATTGATTTTTTTTTATTAATTATATTGATCTTTAACTACTGGATAATCATGACGTGGTCTTGCAGCTTGGCGTTTGTCTATTAGAAACATAAAATCAAATTCGTATCAGTTTGCAAATGTCGTTGACCTAAACGATTAGAGCATGGAGGATCGTCGTACCAATGGCAGAAACGATCAGTTCGGTCACGTGTCACGGTTCATCCTGTAGTACATATACGTAATTTATGTGCACATATATAAATATATCGATCGAGAAAGGAGGAAAGAAAAAGAGTAGAACGAAGAA